TTGCTTTCTGCAACATATTTGCTCTAAAATGAGGTGCTTAAAAGCATAGGTATACAACAGCTTATAGGGAAAAATTTTAACTGTTGCTTAAACGTTTATACAACTATTTTATACGGCATATTTGCACGTTAGTCAAAATGGTTGTATTGTGGCATCCATGGTAACGTTTATAAAACAAACCGGAGCCTTGTTGTTTTGCTGTGCAATTTACTACTTTAGCCAACAAATTGCTCCCAACGGAAGCACTTATACAACTGTTGCTTAGTAACTATTAAAGGCTGTACATATGCTGAATATGTTGGTATACAACTTCAGCATAACCTAATTTTCTGCTATCATATTTTTGTTAAAATGCCATAACCAATGTTTTAAGACAAACATCGCATGCATATTGGTTCAAAAGGTTCTATCAACTGTTCAAACAGAAGATATAGATCTGGTACAAATTCTGGGTAAATCATTCGACTCTGTCGGTATTTCACATTTGTCAAATTGTTGTATAACACCTGCAGGCAACACCAAAACATTCTAATAAACTAAAGACAACATGGACGATGCCATGATTATACACAACCACCCGCCATATTGGGCAAACATGTATTACTCTATTTAATATTAAATAATTATGTTTCACTTCGCAATTGCAGATATAAAGTGATAAAAATTAGTGTAATTGTGTCTAAATATAGAATTTGTGGAAGATTTAACGCAGATAAGTTCTGTTTTCCATCTTAAAAATCTAGACATACTTTTGATCATTATCAAAATATGAATCAAATACGAAGCCCGTAGAAATTGCGGGACTACTTTGCACGATAATTACAATAAAATTTGCTGCGCAAGTAACTCAATAGCCCTATATCACAGTGTAGAATCATATATCTGTGTATGAAATTCAGAATGGCCGATATGTAAGTAAACAAGATGACTGTAATGTATTAGTTATATATTCTTCACTTCGTCTATACAATACATAATAAATAGTTTGGTTGCAATAAAGTAGAATCACGTAACAGAATAGTTGTATAGTTGACAACAACTGAATCTTGCACTGACGCAAGTGTCCTATAGCGGCTGCAAGAGGCTTACACTTTTGTTGTATAACTGTTACCTGCAGCCCTTATACAACCTCTTAAATGACTGAAGGGTCCTATTAGGTGTGCCCATTCTCCCTCTAAGAGGGTTTTGCTAATGTTCTTACAGTATACAATGCTGTGTAAGGAATACTGTATCATCATTCTTGCAACTCTAATAGAAGTGATAATTGTTAGTTGGGCCATTACCGACTGGAGTAGACATTCCCGCTCCCAAATCCCACTAAAACAACAAGTGAGTATAAGAGTATCTGTCGATTTTTTTAATGTACCAGATTCGTCACCTTTGTTCATCGTTCAGAAAACAAGAAAGACCTCAAAATAACGCGAAAGCCCATCCACAACTGCTGTCGGAACACTCCGATTAATTGTTATGGAATCTTGGCCTAATATGTTGCAACTGCATTGTTTCCGGATCTAAAACTCGAAAAATAGCACTTAGAACTTTAAAGAGAACCATGGTGTTTGTCCTTTATATTGAATAAGAATTCCCAATAAATATAATTTCATTGACCAGACAAACATGGAGGATTTTCAGTTTTAAGATATTATCTCGTTTAAGCAATCAATGTTGGCCAAAATGTTCCTGACCAGAACTGGCCAAGCAACAGCTTGCCGTATAGCTGACCTAGAAGATAATAACATTATCGAGGTGATTTCAAAAAAAACTTATTATGGTGGAATGGGGAGTACTGAGTGATTGACATCATCTATAGGGTGAGAACCGTAATTAAATAAGCCTGAACAGACAATATTTCATCATAAACTTAATACACACACAATAATTCCATAGCTTTTGACAAATCAGGTGCCATAAAGATGAGTTCACGCGGCAAACTCAAATGTCAGTAATCATTTGACCACATTTAAGGTTTGTCCATACAGGGTGATTCACAAGTCGTGACCAAAAATGAAACATCATACACAGAACCGCATTTTAAGGGGGCTCTTCTATATACCGTTTTTTCCTTGACGGCTTCACTAAACAGATACAGGGTGTTGCGGATAAAAAATAAATGGTGTCTTCAAAACCGTCAACTGGAATGAACTAAAATTTGGCATGTCGATTTACCTACGTATTGTCTACATTCAAAAGTCTTTACTTTAAATTAACGTGCACCAGTGGCGGAGATACAGGGGATTAGTGGCATGATTTTTCCAAATAAAAGTAGTACCACTACTGTTTTTTTTCGAAACGCGCTATTTTTCGAATTTTACCTTCAATTTGCTACAAATAATTACATCTGTGTTTTTTCCTTAGAGTGCAATGTTTTCGTAAAAGTAAAAATAAAACAAATTATATTAATTAATGAAGATCCGAGAAACAACTAGTTTCAAAATAAAATAGGAGGCGTTGATACCAACTTGACATTTCTTGGGAGATAGTCTGTTAAAGTTATGTTATACGGCTGTTATCGTTACTACTTCAATCTTTTTTTGTGAAAGTCAAGTCAAAAGTTTCTCTTTTCTATTTTTGAGTGTTATGAAATGGAATTCACCCTGTTTACCATCGCAGAATGAACGGAATTTGTGTGGCGGATCTTGCACACGATCACTGACAGGTTTTGCGACTGCTGTATGAACACGCCTTTTGCCACTGGAAGAGCTTCCGGTGTCATTTAAGTCTAACAAGTGCGTATGCACATGTGCTTGACCTAACTTATAATACTCTTGCAGTAATCGTGTCACAGTCTTCCTAGGTGTTCGTTGTTCAAGGGTTTCATTTAATATCACTGTTATATTGATTACCTAAAGGCTTATAATTCTTTTCGCAGTATTTGCAGCTACGACACAATGCCATACGGAATAAGTAAACAGTCTGACTAACTGTACCACGTGAAGAGCTCAATATTCTTAAGAAAAACTGCATACTGAGCAAGTCGATCCCTAACGCTGCTCTGCTACTCGTTCTTGCGCACACAATGAATTGGGTGATTGGAGACTGCTATTGTCAATCACTTTCCGAAAACAATCGAATAAATTCATTACAGAAAGTTGACATTGTAGTTGTATCTGCAGGCTCTGCTATAATATATATCGAAGATCAATAATAGGTAAACTTGAATCACACGCCCATGGCAAAACAGTTGTACCAACAGTGACAATCACAAGTGTGAAAGACTCATAAGTTGAGAAAATTATCAAGGCAATGAGACAAAACTAAAAAACTTATATTTATGAATTCACACAAACAAACGTCCATGCATAGAAGTCGATTGTATATGTATATGTGAGGGAGATGGATGTATGAACGTAATTCCTGTAGTTTTACTGTACCCGCCAAAAACCGTGACAGGGCCTATAGTTAGAGGTTAGTTCTGTCGGCTTAAGTATTAGTAGTTTCACGGAAACTTAGATGAAAAACAAAGGATAATCATGGGTATGTACGCAATAAAGGAACAGGCACAGAAATTGAAGGACTGGTAACCCGAGCGGCACACATTTCTGCTTATTGGCTTCATCAGGTTCAAATGAATGTGCATGAAAAACACCGAAGTGAAAACATAATGGCCTCTGAACGAAGCCACAAAAGTGCCTGCTGGCTCTTGTTGGTTGGTTCTAGTGATATTATCCTTCCATCCTTGTTTTCCTTTAGCTTACATCCGGATCCAGATGTGATGGGCATATGTTTTCACTCCGGTATTTTTGATGCACATCCATTTCGGCCTGATGAAGCCAATAAGCAGAAACCGTTCGGGTTACCAATTCTTCTACTCCTATTTCTCCATTGCGTTGTCACATGCCAAAATAATATTAAATTACAATATTTTGATCACTTACCAGTAATTTGAATTTCTCTTTATTAATGGTAAAGTGCCGATTCCTAGGCCAAACTCTTTTTAATGATGTTGTTTTGTCAATTTTCATAGTTTAATGATTGTATAATTTCACACGTATTATCTCTTTCTTTCTCAACGACTCCACGGTGATATTAACATTACTTTTTACCGAAAACGGCAACAAGACCTCACACACTGTTTCCGTCTAGAACGGGAGTGGATATATTGCTCCGATGTCAACAATTTGTTTGACGCGTTAGGACATAAACATGATCCAAATGATTGGCGCCTGTTTATTGATTCCTCTAAGCTTAGTTTAAGTGATGAACATTGTGAACAGTTCCACCAAGACAGTTCTGCTATGGAAAAACGGTATCAAGGCAAATGGAGTGACAATTAGCTTGCTGATTATTGCTAGACACTGTTAAAAGATACTTCAGGAGCAACATATCGCCGTAAAACATCGACAACATTCTGAGATTAAAGTTTATACGGGTGTTTATTAATACTCTTACACACACATATCCTTGTATTTTACGAGTATAAGTAGCAAATAAAATACCTTATTGAAAGAAAATCGTGGGTGATAGAAAAAATCGAATGCTATTTCCAGCTTTTTGGGAAAGTTTTACATAATAACCAGCTTGTTTTGTCCATGTCACAAAAAATTATTTTAATTTTTTCCACCAGTGCACTCCAGTGTTTGATTAGATAATATATTATGACTTTTTTTTCGATTATCTTGTTCTATTTGGCTCTCTGGAAACAATTAATTAGGTTTCGTCATTGCTGTTAGATTTTTTCTTTTGTATGGTGGTCAAGCAAAACAATGTTTTGCATTGACTGATTCCATTGATCGTATTTTATTTATCTATTAATTAATTAATAGAAAAAGGAAAGAGGAATCACACCACCATTTCATCTCGATTATAAAAAAGGGGCGCGGTAGCGTACCTGCCCATGATTGTCCTTTGTTTGATATTAGTACTGTTACTTAACGGCCATTACAATCATGCTTAAGATAAAATACATGCTTGATTAAGATCTTAAGATCGCTAATTTTTAAATTTAGCCCGACCAGAAGACATTTTCACTAGAAAAAGGCCAAGACTACTATTCACTAATTTTATTGTACTCGCCTGCTTGTGACAGAGCTGCTACTCGAGCTCGACCCAGGGCTGGACTTTGACAACTGGTAATCCTGCAGTTGACAGCACTTCATTCTATTGGGGGTGCCCATATACCTGACCCGTTGGTAGTGACTCCCATTGTAAGGCAGCGACAATCTGTAATGGTAGGCTAAGTCTCTTCGCATGTACGGATCGCTAGCGCTCGAGTTGGAGTACTTGAACCCTTGGTAGCCCTGGTACGATGATCCGTAGTATGGTTCTTGGGGTTGAGGGATGTACCGCTCGACGGGTGTGTGTGCGTTCGGAGGGATGTACCGCTCGCCTCCGCTGTTGTTCGGATTTGAGTTGTATCGGGTGTCGTTATGTACAAATTTGTCCGTGTGGTAGCTGACGGAGGGGTACCGTTCCGAGTAATTTTGGTACCTGCAACAAATGCAGAGTCTCACTCGAAGAAATTGTAGTCCGGAAGATGAATACTATATTTCGTCAAAGAAATTTGATCATTTTCACTATCGGCTATACCCCATTCGTAGTCCGTTTACCTCCAGACAAAACACGACACGCCTAAGAGCGAGATTGTACAGGTCCGTATTTTTCTCAATGGTCTTGGAATAATCTAACAAAATAAATGATTGATTTTATACATACATACTTTTCACAATTCTTTATTCGCTGAAAGTACTTAAATCATCGTCCGAATGGTATTAATTATTACAGGTTCAATTTGAATATCGATCATATTTACGTGACGGATGCAATCTTTCCAATGGTTTGCCGTTACTCTGTTGACAGCTTCATAAAACAAATTTTTCACGTCAGAAACTTTGAATGTTCTATTGTTTGAAGCCACATAGTTTTTTATATTTCCAAGTCATTTCAATGGGATTTAATTCGCAGTGATAAGGGGGTAGCCTTAAAACGATCTTATTTTGGATTTTAGATATTTCGTCAATAAAATTAAGATTATATTTGTGCTCCAGACTGGATGCCCATAGGGCAGTGGGCACAAAGCCATCTTCACTGCCAATGTGACGGATAACAAATCGTTTTTCCTGGAAACAATTATTTCATATAGCATTCAACAAAACTAATAATAATACGAGCAGGTGTTGGTTCCAAAGCGACCAGATATAGCTAAGTTTTAAGCGCGGGCTCATAGATTCAGTTTACTTGACACCATTTTTACAACACAAATGGTTCTTGCTGATTTAAAGGTAAGGTCAGCCCATACTTTAGGTTTTGTATGTCCTGTATTTATCCAGGTTTCATCCAAGTAATAAATCTTCCTGCCTTGCTCGCGGTATTTATTTATTGATTTTAAGTAATTTCTTTTCCCTAAAATAATGTCTTCACTGTCACAATACTATTTCTGCCCCGTTTTCTATACTCAAAATGAAGTTCTTTGGGTAATGTGGTCCTTTTGAAAGTAGGTAAGTCTTCATCACTATTAAACTCCTGTAATACTATGTCTGCAACTGCCGGCATCGGCGTGCTGGCGATACCCCGAGCCTGAGTTCTATCCTGTCGAATCCTGCACTTGTTCATAGTTTCATGGCCGAATGACCAATAGCTATTGCAGCGTTTAGACGGCTGCCGCTCTGCCGCGCTGCGCAAATGGACTACGAATAGGGTATAGGAGTCTATACTCTCAGTTTAAATGCACTTTATTTGGCCGCTATGTTTAAAAATGGGCGCCAAGTTGTAAAACGGTTATTAAACAGTTCTTCGTAACCAGTGGTCCGATTTTAACTTTTCAAAGATTATTTTACTTATTTTTTGAAAACAACAGTATTTTAAAGTTACACTTTTCCAAATAATCCTGTAGTTATTGAGATGTACCAAGGCATCAGTTTCAATCAGTTTGTCCAGTTAGTTAGGTTTAATGGGATAAAGGTTCATTTTTGGTGAGTTACAACCAATTCCGAACATAAAAAATATTGTATCCACAAATACAAAAGACAGTTTTCGTTGATCTTACCTCAAAAGTGAAACATCACAAATCACTCAAAGTCTAGAAGTAGCCACTAAGGTCACGTGTGAACTTATATTTGCCTTTAGTTTTAATTTTACTCCTTTTTTAAAGGCAAACATATTTTGTGACTCTACTTGTACATGTTTCGAATAAATAAAACTTAATTATTATGATGCACGCTTGATAAATCATTTTACGATTTGTTCTCCACTTTATTACTTTAAGCTTATAAAAATTCTGATTAAAATACAAAGAACATATCAATGCACCTTGCTCAGTATTGTAGTCATACATCTTTGGAATGCTTAGTAAATGCAATAGTTTTAATTTAACTCTATCAGAAATGGATCATTTTAGACAAAGTGCTTTCGAAAAATGATGAGGTCTAAAAACTCCGGTACCTATAGCTCAATAATTATCCGAATAATCGGAAAATGTATAATCACAAAATATGTATGGAAAAGGGGCAAGATGAGCCTGAAAAAATTAAAATCGGTGCAGTGGCCACGAAGATATGTTGTTCAACTCTTGGACAACCTGGCGGACATTTTTAAATATTGCGGCATGACCTCTTGTTTGTATATTCTCATAGGTGCTTAATAATACCCGGCATTCAAACAAAGGTCGCATATAAGTTCACACGTGACCTTAGTGACTGCTCCTTGACTTTTAGATATTGCAATGCTATTTCAACTTTGTGGTAAGATTAACGAAAACTGTCTTTAGTATTTGTAAATAAAAAAATTGGTTTCTACAATTCCAAAACTGTAACATTTTCCTATTCACAGTATCATTATTTGAATAACTGCACAAATTAATAAAATCCGGAAACGGTGTACCTGTATAAATACTATATTACTCAAAAATGTCTGAACATAAAATATGTGTATTCTTAAAAAATACGTAAAATGAGGTTTAAGTGCCGTATCGTCAGTCGTTCCTACAATTGTAGGACGCCTTTATGGCCTCCTTGATTGTCATAGCCTTTTCTCTCCTTCAGATTTCACCTGTACCGTGTCAGCGTCAGCGCTTTCCTATTGCGAAGTTATATTTTGTTTTTGAATTATAAGAAGTTTCAGGCTGATAAAAGCCTGAACAATTTGATGAAAATAGATATTTGTGACATAATCGCAAAATAGAGCGCTGGCAAGGATAAGTAGTACACTATAACAATCAAGGAGGCCAGACAGGCGTCATGTAATTGTAGGAACGGCTGACGATAAGGTCCTAGCGCTGACATCGGCCCACTGGCTACAACGTGACGGCCATTTTTGAATGTGGCCGCCCAATGACCACGATTTCGATCGCGTTACTTGATTTTGTATAGATAGATAAATGTGCTTCACGTTTTTTTATACCAAAGCAGCCGCGCAAGCAGAATCCAAATGATTCCGGGACTGCTATCAAGATCCCAAAAAAAGTTTTGTTAATCCGAACTGTCTAAGGATAGTAGAACTTGGAAAAGCTTGTAGATTGTTCCATAACCTCGACACCCTCGGGACAAAGGAGCGGCCGTATTAGCCAGTTCTGGATGTACCAAGTTCGACACGGCTGGCGTAGCGGTAGAAGAGAGCTAGATCGCCGACGGACCGCCGGTGCGAAAGGTTTCCAAGATTGTCTGTTAAAGAAGAGTCGTCGAACAGTCGGACAGCCCTCGAGAGCATCGAGCATAAATGATGTAGTCGGGGCGGCAGCACCCCAAACGTGTGAGCAATAGCCGAGGATTGGCCTTACCTGGGCCTTGTATAGAGTGAAAAGGTCATGCGGAGAAAAATATTTCTTAGCCCTAAACAAATAGCTTAGCTTTTTCCCAGCAGCTGATGATGAGATGTGTTCGTGCCAGATCAAGTCCTCGGTGATCTGGACTCCAATCAGCCAAAGTAAACGGCTCTTTGGCAGAACTCAGCTACCCATCGTAATGGGATGAGCGCTATTACGCTTTTTGTTCGTCAAGGAACAGTACTGTGTATTGGAAGCATTAAACTGTAGACTCTTGCGTCCCCAAGCAGAGATAAACTCCAGGACTCTCGTCAGAGAGGAAGTCGCCGCTAGTCTTCTTTTTTCCAGCTCAGCGGCAGAGATCGGCTTGTCACTCTGAATTCCTGCATGTAGAGTGCTGTCATCAGAAAAGCTGTGGATTGGGTTGATGGTATAGGAAAAGAGGTCGTTTATATGTATGAGGAACAGTGTCGGAGCCACGACCGATCCCTGGGGAACACCCGCGTTGACATTGTGGGACGAAGAGGAGAACCCATCAATTACGACGGATATCTTGCGGCCAGAGCGAAAGTCAGCCACCCATCTGCAAAGCTTTTCTGGGAGGCTATAGGATTGAAGTTTGCATAGGAGGCCAGCGTGCTGTGGCTGATCGAATGCTTTCGAGATATCAAGAGCAACGACCATAAAACTGGGTGAGTTTACTCCACAATTGCGTGACGTAACCTAGGAGGTCCCCTGTGGATCGCTGCTGACGGAAATCATATACTGCCTGTCGCGAATGAAACACGTGACGTTCGAGGTAGTCCAGAAGCTCGCGATTTATTCATCTCTCCATCACCCTACTTATAACAGAAAGCAGAGCTATGGGTCTGTAGTCATATGGGTCGGTCTTAGATCCTTTTTTGGGATAGGCTGGACATAAGGAAGTTTCCAGTTTTCTGGGAAGGTGTCGGATTCATAAGATATCTGGCAGAGAGGTAAACGAACTGGAGCAAGCTCCGCTGCACGCCTCTTCGGTACAATGGCAGTAATTAAGTCCGGACCAGAAGCTTTGTTGATGTCGAGCGCCAAGAGCACCCGTCTAAATGTTACTTCCCGAACAGTGTAGGGAACCCTTTGAATCGACGGCACTTAGGCGTTGGCAGCAAAGATCTTGGCAAGCACATCCCCTTTGGCCTTTGAGTCTACTATAACCGTTCCATCTTGACACGTAAGTGGTGGAAGGTTACTGTGCGAGAAGTTCCTTCCAATCCGCTTCGCCGTCGTCCAAATAGACTGACTGCCATTGCGCTGCAACATTACCCCGTGCCTAACTAGTATATCGTGCTGGTCTTTGGCATTGCGAACCGCTTCGTTATATTTGTTTCTGGGCTCGATGTCGGCTTGTCTGTTCTCTACAATGGGGTTTTGTAAGAAGGTTCTATGTGCCATGATATTCTGCTGGCGAGCAGTGTCACACGATTTGTTAAGCCACCCGTTGAACAATGACTTAGGCACTTTCGCTGTATGAGGAATGTGTTCCTCCATCCCGACGTGGACAATTTCGGTTATCGAAGAACAGACAGACGACGTATGCGCAATAGCGAAACAAACATCTCTCCGAAGAAAGGTAGAGAAGAAGTCTCGGAACCTCTCCCAGCAGCCTGGGCGAGTGTCTGCTGCTACAGTACAGCAGTGCTGTAGGGGACAAGATGGGTGGTCAAAAAGAGATCCAGCAGGCTACTGACGGGTGACGAGACGAGGGGAAAAAGGTAAGGCTCGTCACCAGCTGGGTCAACCCCTGAGCAAGAGCGAACGCTTCAACTGCACGACATGTTGCATCTGCCTTGTTTGAGCCCAACCAAAGCTCATTACGGGCATTGAAGTCACCGAGGAGATCTTCCCTTGAAGCGGGGTGATTGGTATTCAGGAAGTCGATCTTGACGGCGAGATATTCAAGTTAGCCATCCTAGTTTTGGTCCGAGGGAGAGCGATAAAGGCAGCAAATAAATTTGGTGGATGTTTCGGAGTTGAAGAGAAGTCACAGAAAATATTTCCGATCTGAAGCTGACTGCTGGGGACAAAAGCCACAACTCCCCCGTTCTTTCTCAGTCTGGAGTGCACCTCGTAATTTGGGAAGCTAAGATGGTTAATCGGTGCAGACTCTGAGGTTGCTGTCTCCGCCAAGAAAAGCATGGCGGGGCGAGTGATGAACAGCATCAATGTTGCTGTTGATGTGTTCTGAAGAACACAATCATTCTTAATTATAAAGCTAACGTAGAACTATGCTACATATAGAAAAGTTTTCAAGTTCACTGCGGAATACCTTTAAATTGTTAATTCTCTTGGAAGCATCAGGAAGACGCATATAAATTTTCTGACCATTTTAAGCCTTTCAGCTGCAGTTTTATACCAGAATGCATGAATTTGTTCTTCAAATGACCAGCAAGATTTGGAGCAATGCGATTTTCAAAGTCATGCATTTGAAAGAAAAAGCAATTAGGTAGAAATATAACCTGAGATTTCCTCACTCACCTATCCTTGTGAGAAAACCTCTCTCCTGCACCGTTAACAGCTACAACGCCAGCAGCAGTAACGGCAATTGTTGCTGTAGTTGTAGTGGCGGACGTCGCTGTTTGCTGTTGTTGTTGCTGCTGCGGTTGATGATGGTGGTATCGCTTCTCGTACCTCTCCAGCTTCTTCGGCGATACAGCCGGCGCGTACCGTTGTGGGTGGTGGTGGTGCTGTTGTTCGGTGGGCGAAGGCGACAGCGGCGGAGGTGGCGCGAATCTGAAGCAATAACACCATCACAAGTTAGCCCACGAAAAATGTCATTTAAAGGTCAAATCGATGAGCAAATGCGGAAAAAATACGTGGCTGTCTTTTTATATTGCTGCATGATGTAAAGCGTGTTGTACGTTTGATCCAGGGCGATCAGAAAGTAGGTACTGAGGAAATGTTATGACCATTTCGAGGTCAATCAAATAAAAAAAGCCTGAAAACCTGCATGTATAGGATTTTGGATTTTTCATTCTGCATTCTGTTTCAAATTCGATCCTCACCATTGGGATCTTTGAGACGGTAGGAGATACTAAGTCGCTTAAATGGGGGTAAAGTTGCGTATTCAAGTAACTACCAAAATGCTGCTTACAAAGTTTCGAAATTCCAAGTAATTTCAGAGAGAGACGAACAAAAATGTTCCCAAAATCTTTTTACTTTTTTCTAACTTTATCTGTATTGGGATTTCAAAATGAGTAACACATAGCACATTAACAGTGCTACTTTTCCTTTACAGGATAACATAATTAGAATCTCAATATGACGTTTCGTCTCTTGACCTACAGCATCAACTTTATTTTTTCTTATAGACGCCATATTGGATTTTTACACAGGTAAATAGAGCTTATAATTCTGATTCCACTGTATGCCATACCTTGACATTGTCAAATTTTAGTTATTTCAGAAAAACAGAATTCCCTAGATAGGCCTTGAAATTATCAGATAGTCATTGGCTTCGTATTCCAGATCAGACCTTAAATTGAACCTAGTAATAGTTTGAAATATTGAGAAGACGAGCAATAAGCTGAATAGTGAACTATGTACAGATAGGAGTCAGGCCTTGCCTACAAAACAACGTTTTAAAAACCTGCTATGAATTACCTCTGCTTATTTATGTTTATTATTGTTATTACCATCAATAGTTTTTTCATTTCGTGTAGAGGTATCACCATACCTTTTTTACTTCCTCGTAATTTTTGTTCCAATGGCAAATTCAGACCAACCAAGAAAACTGAAAACAATGTCAAAAGAAGAAACCTCGAATTCAAAATTTGACTACGCCTTCTTGTAGAGGCGAGAAAGTGACAATGGCAACATGTAATTTACTTTAAAACCCCATCTAGTAAAGGAAAGTTACGAAAAATAAAAAATGATTTTGAAATCTGGTATTCAAACCAAATGACTATCTGATGATTTAAATGCCTACAGAGGAAATTCTGTCTTTATTTAAATAACCGAAGTTTGGCAATGTCAATGAATGACGTATTATACATTTTTCGGAATCAGAATTGAATTACCTATTTAATGAAGATTCAGTTTGACGTCTTTAAGAAAAAATAAAGTTGATGCCGGAGGATAACAGGCGAAACGTGATATTGAAATTATAATTACATCATCTTGTAGATGAGAAAAAGTGACAATGTTATGATACATTTTATTTTGAAATCCCACTAAAATATTATAACGATTTTGGGAAAGTTCGTTTTTTTCCGTCTCTCTCCGGAAGTACTTTGAATTTTGAAACTTTCTAAGCGGCATTTTGTAAGTCACCTAAATACGCAGCTTTCCCTTATTTGAGCGACCTCGTATATCTTACCGTTTTCGAAATCAATGATGAGGGTCGAATTTGAAACACCCGGTATATTTACTTCTTTGCTACTAAAAGGTCGTCTGAAGTTAATATTATCTTCACATAAGTTTTTTGAACCATTCAGTAGTTTGACTCATATGGCCTTGAAATAATCTTTACTAGCCTTCAATGACCTTTAATGGCCAATTCGTGCCCTACTGAGCGGGGCCGTGGCAAATGCTTGTTCCGGAAGTTGTATCCAATATACACTTTCTTCCCGCTCAAGTGATTGTACACGAGTTAAGAAATACCTCAGTACCGATTGCCGGGTGACGGTACAAGTCCGCCATCGGGCCACTTTAGGTCTATTTTATATCACTAACACGTAAAAAGAAGGTGGTAGACAAGGACCAGTCGACCGAGGCGGTACCACACGCTAGCTTTTCCCAGGGTGTCTTATAAATGTCCGCATGTTTCCACACCTAGGCTATGCAGTCGGTTATCTTCCAAAACAAAGAAATTAATGATAATGGATCCCTCGAGCACTAAGAACTCCGGACGTAAACTCACTCCACTCTCGCAATGTCCGGGTTGAGGGTGAACTCGAGGGAACAACATCGAAGATAAAATTTGTTTCACAAACATCTGCGGAATTAACAGCGACATTGATGCTGTTCATCATTACTTGCAATCCAATCGTCCCGCCATGCTTTTCTTGGCGAAGACAAAAATCTCAGAGTCTGCACCGATTAACCATCTTAGCTCTAGTATTTCCTGCTGCCGAGATGTTTCTCTGGAATCAGATCGGAAGGACATTCTGTGGCTTCGCGTCAACTCCAAAATATCACCCAAATTTATTTGATGCCTTTATCGCTTTCCCTCGGACCATAACTGGGATGACCTACTTGAATACCTCGCCGTCAGGATCGACTTCCTGAACATCAATCAACCCGCTTCAGAGGTAGTTCTCCTCGGTAATTTCAATGCTCATAATGAGCTTTGGTTGGGCTCAAGCCAGACCGATGCAGCAGGTCGTGCAGTTGAAGCGTTCGACCCAGCTGGTGATGAGCTTTACTTTTTTCCCCGCGTCTCGTTACATGCCAGTAACCTGCTGGATCTCCTTCTCACCACGCATCCTGTCCCTTACAGCACTGCTGTGCTGTCCCCCCTAGATATCTCAGGCCACGGTGTTGTGGAGGTTAGGTTTCGGTCAGAACCCGCTGTGTCCCAAAATTTGGCATTACGAACATACCTTTCCTTTGAGAGATGTCTGTATCACTGACTCGGATGAAATTATCCGCATTGGAATGGAGGAATGCATGCCTTATACAGTAAAAGTGCCTAAGCCAGAGTCCAATGGCAGAAGATCAAGGCACACAGAACCTTCTTACAAAACCCCACTGTAGAGAACAGACAAGCCGACGTCGAGTCCAGAGCCAAATATAACGAAGCGGTTTGCAATGCTAAAAACCAGCACGATATAAAATTTAGGCACAGGGTAATGTCGCAGCGCAATGGCAGTCGGTCTTTCTGGACACCGGCCAAGCAGATTGAAAAGAACTTCTCCCACAGTGGCCTTCCACCACTTACGTGTCAGGATGGGACTATTGTATCCGACTCAAAACCCAAGGAGGAAGTGCTTGTCAAGATCTTAGCTGCCAACTCCACACTGGACGTTCTCCCATCGCCCAGGTGGGGTTAATTCAAAGGGTTCCATACACTATGTGGGAGGTTATATTCAAGCATAAGACCGTAAGACGGATGCTCTTGTCGCTCACCATCAACAAAGCTTCTTGTCCGGACTTGATTCCTGCCATTGTACTGAAAAGGTGTGCAGAGGAGCTTGCTCCAGTTGTTTCGCTTCTCTTACAGATATCTCATGAATCCGGCACCTTTCCAGGAAAATGATCTAAGACCGACCCTTACAACTACAGGCATATAGCTCTGCCTTGTGTTATAAGTAAGGGGATGGAGTAGTGCATAAATCGCGAGCTTCTGGACTACCTTGAACGTCACCGCTTGATTAGCGACAGGCAGTATGGTTTCCGGCACCAACGATCCACAGAGAACCTCCTAGCGTCACGCAATTGTGGAGTACACTCATTCAGTCTTATGGTGAGGCTCATGTTGTTGCTCTTGACATCACGAAAGCGTTCGATCAGCTATGGCCCGCTGCCCTCTCAAGCAGACTTCCATCCTATGGCCATCCAGAAAAGCTTTGCAGATGGTTGGCTGACTTTACCTCTGGCCGTAAGATATTCGTCGTAATTGACGGTTTTTTCTCTCCATCCCGCAACGTCAACGCGGGTGTTTCCCAGGGATCGGTCTTGGCTCCGGCACTGTTTCTCTTACATATCAAAGACCTTCTTTCCTGCACGATCAACCCAATCCACAGCTTCGCTGATGACAGCACTGTGCATGCAGGAATTCAGAGTGACAAGCCCATCTCTGCTGCTGAGCTGGAAAAATTAAGACTAGCGACGGCTTCCTCTGTGACTAGAGACCTGGAGGTTATCACTGGTTGGGGACGCAACAATGTTGTACAGTTTAAGGCTTCCAAAACACAGTAATGTACCTTAACCAACAAAAAGCGTCCTAGCGCTAATCCGGTTTCGATAGTTGGTCGCGTTCTGCCAAAGAGCCATTCATTTCGACTGGTCGGAGTCCAGACCAGAGAGGGCTTGATTTGGCAAGTACACATCTCGTCAATAGCCGGAGCTGCTGGGAAAAAGCTTGGCTATTTGTTTAGGTCTATGAAGTACTTTTCTCGGCATGACATTCTCACACGTTTGGGGTGCTGCCGCCCGACTACATGATTTATGCTCGATGCTGTCCAGAAGAGGGCTGTCCGACTGATAGATGACTATTCTCTCACAGACAGTCTCGGAACCCTTTCGCACCGGCAATCTAGCTCTCTTCCACCAACGAGCTTTGCTCCCTTCTATGATACCGCCGCGCGATGTGCCTGCCAGACAGAACCGCCTGACTTTGGCCTCCCATCCTAACCATGTCGAACTTTGTACATCCAGAACTGGCCGATATGATCGCTCCTTTGTCCCGAGGGGGTCTAGATTGTGGAACAATATGCAAGAGGAAGCTTTTCCCAATTTTACTAACCTTAGGCAGTTCAAAAATCGTATTAACAAAATTTCTTTGGGATCATCATAGCAGCCGCGGTGTCCCGGCGTTTAGGCTTCTGTCTGCGCGGCTGCTTCGGTATAAAAAGAAGTGATCTTGCTTCATCAGGTCCAGGCACATTCAGTTTCAAAAATATATACATTCTAGCGATTTTTTCAGATTTAATTAGGGATTTATCTCGATTTGGCCTTCAAGTGACTTTCACCTCAAATATCCTTCACACATTCAATTCCAACATAATTATTATTATATTCAATTCTCGGAGAACCTTGAGTGTTTTAGGATTCCGTCTTCTTTTGATGTGTGATTAAAATAAAGGATATAGTGAAATATTACAAATACACACGGAAACCGTATTTCCATAAGCTCTGAGCTTTTAACTTTTTAGACCTCAAATACTCAGTTAAATACACTCTTATAAAGGTATAATTTGTATGAAGGATCCACCCTTATACTAGCAACCACTAAACATTATTTTCATCAAATTATTCCGATTGTCATAGAAGAATCATAACATTGCGAAAACGCCAAGTTACACGACGAACGTAGCTTCTAATTAGTTGAATCTGAAAGAGGGATCGCAAAATGAACGTGTCTCAAAACCAGCAAAGACAGATAATCAAGTTTTTTCTAACTGACCTTTCGGTGGCCGCCGGCACCAAGCCCCCTTGCGCGGTGGGTGATGGGAAAGCATTGTTGGCGAAGCAATCCGGGGAGGGGGTGGAGTCCTCGTGGTGGGCGTGATCCGGAGATAGCGAGGGAGGCGCAGGCGGAGCAAACCGGCGCTCGGAGGCGGACACCGGCGCCGGAGACGGTGGCTCCAGGTAACTGCTAGGCGTGCTTGACGGTGCCATGGAGAACAGGTGGTCCGGTTTTTCTTTCGTGGCGAACCTGTAACGGAACGAAGGGTTATAATATAAACAGCTACTATTACAGGAGTCTTGATGGAAAAGTACAGGTATATTTACGGGTTTATCAAAAACCAAAGCACAGTACCAACAAGAAATATGCAGATATAGTCGACGACAACGCTTTTAGATTCGTTTAAATTTTTTTTCGATAGTCATAAACCGAGAACCGGAGGCATGAGGACCGAGACGGTTCTGAAAATTTCCAAACATTTTCTCTTGCAAGTCTGGATGAGATGAGAGATGACTGAATCAAGCTGTTGAAGTAACGTTGACTGTTATAGGTTTCAAATCTCTGAAATGTCCGCAGGGAACAACTCTCGCCTCTTTCCATCAATTCTAGATGTACCATCTCTGCTGTGGGAATTTATAAACGTTTATAATCATCATACATTATTGTTCCTTATTTTGGTTTTTGTTGCTGCACTTAAAGATATAGATATCCTCTTCACAATTCTTCTTTTTCGTGGTTTGACACCGTTACGAATAATTTTACAAACTGTAAGATATGGCACGTTAGTCGGTCTGGCTGTTTTTGTATGGGCACTAATATTACCGCTATCACCCATTTCACGTAACAGTCCATTATGCACATTAATGCAAATCTGTTGAGCATCAGCAGACAGGCACTTTCTTTTAGAAATACGACGTTATTCCTGACTATCATTGCTGCCCCCATTACTCCTATCAGTATCATGCGCACTGACAGTATCACTGTCCTTGCTGCAAGATGGCTTTGCATCATTCATAGCGCCTTTGTACATATTATTTTCGATGTCCGTGGGCCGCTAACCTGCCTGAGCAGATCGTTCTCAAGGGCGGAAAAAATTCGTATCGCACATAATTATTATTTATACCGTATTATATAATGACCGTACTATATGGCGGGTCGGTAACACAAGGAAGCAGAAAAAATGTAAGCGAATATAATATCGTTGTCGTCTACTTTACTACAATAGACTATTCAGTGGTAGCTATCTAAACCATATCTGAATATCATACAATAAATACTGGATCAACTTACAGGAATTATTGGCAATCTGGGGTAATTCAATGATATCCGACGCAATCTCTCTATTACAGATCAAGAACCACTACCAAAAATCGTGGAAATTTCAGGTTGCTTAGGAATCGCGCTATTCATTGATGGGGCACAATAATAGTGCTTATTTTCAAAGTCTAATAAAAATAATCCAGTTTGATCATCCGATATACCAACAGAAATATTGTTTGAGCTTGACAATGTAGATCCAATTTTGGTCTTTTGACTTCTATCAATTAAGTAGTCTTGTAGAATTTTGAATACAGATCCTGCGATTTTGGAAGTAATTTATTCCTGTCAATAGTCTCAAACGCCCTTTTGAGTTCCAAGAACACTGTTACTGTATGTTTCCTATTATCCATAGGTACATCTTTCCCAGTTTTCAGTTGAGTGTTTCTTCCTGAATCCAGCTTGAAATTTGGCTAAAGTTTTATTTCCCTCAATAAATTCGATGATCTGTTCGTAAGTAATTTCAACATCTGGCAAAACATTTATTGGCCGCATATTGGTGTACAGCTTAACTTTCGAAACAGGAGTTATGGTAGAACACTTCAGTTTTGTGGGAAATTTTCCATATTTTAAACAGTAATTTATCAAGATTAATAGTCTTGCTCCAATAGTATCAAACACATTCATTAAGCACACTATTAGACAAAAATTCACTTTTATTTTGATTTGATTTAATTTTTGATGCAATCTTCTTGAGACGATTAATGTTTATTGTTCTAAGCTCACTGAATGATGCATTATAATCTGATCTAATGTGAGATTGGTTGGGATCTTCGTCAATAATTAATCTTACAATGTCCTTAACACTTTCTGTGAAATAGGTATCCATTCGATCTGCTATTATTTCTTCATCTGTTATTACTCCATCGTCGAACTTCATTTTAGAAAATGTATTTCTTCTAATAGGAAAACAATGTTTTCCAACGTTTTCCACATCTGTTTGCTACTATCTTTACTCTCATCAATTTTGACATTTTGATAATTTTTCCTTTCATTTCGTAGAGCTGCTACAGATTGTGTATTTTGGCCAATCATTTTCACTCCCAGTAATCATAAACTTTTTATAATTATTGTAGTCTCTTTTTAATTTAGAATCATTGAACATCTGCGAGAATCAAGTTGTTGGATTACTTTTATTTTACGTTTGTCTTGACTATAGCTCCTTTCATGCAAACTTTAACATTATCCAATAGGCAACAACATCAACAAACATTTCAGTCATATCTTGCAGTAAAAGAGATTCTCGTAATTTTACGTAGCTAACATTAGTAGTTTCTTGAACTTTATTAGCATCAAATATATTTTCAACTTCAAAACATATCCATGAATGATCACTGATCTTAGCGAGTATACATAACTTTTGCAATTAAATGTTGTTTGTTCGTTATTATCAAATCTAAAATTGTTCTTGATTGATTTGTAATTCTAGTGTGATCATAGACTTCTTGCCATAGCCCATAAAAACTGATTACCTGTTTAAATTTCTTTACGTAGAAGTCTTGATTATCAAAAATTATATTAAAATCACCCAAATGTACAGTGTTGCAGTTTCGATAAAAATGTTTCTCTCTATAAATCTGTTTATACGAGTATTTCCAGTCAAGTGAGCTAAGTAAGAATATCTAACCTTTCGGGGCAGGGAATTGTAGGAAACCTATCCGCGACGTACTGTTCCAACCGGTGGTACCCTGTGCTCGCCTGCCTATCCTCCCTATCTTGCCTGTCCTTCCTATCCGAACTGGAGGACCTCTCTCTGACTTTGTACACGTCCTGCTTGGATCCGTTGCTCCTTCGCCTGGACTCGCTTGCTGCAAAGCAAACGTTCTGCGCCGATTGGTGGTGAGTATGGTGGTGCCGATGCCTTTCGGTGGTACCGCCCTGGTACTTTTCCACGGGGGTGTATCGACCGCCCGTGGAGTGCTTGTCGGTTGAAAGGGTGTGGTACCTGGAAAGGGAGATAAGGAGTTGATTGCGATCGGTTCATGGTCCACTATGTTGCATTATGCTCAAAGTAATCGGTATTTTGATATATATTCAGCGATCTGTGTTCCAATGAAAATTTCTAATACTCTGATTGTAGAGGGTGAGCTAGTATGCGGGTTCGGTCGATTGATCCGTTATTATAAAAGATACCTGAAAAAGTTATTTACAAAAATTATAGGTAAATATACGCCACTTAGTTAGAAAATGCGCCGCCCTCTAAAGGGTGATTCATAACAACGTGGCATTAGAAACATACATGCTTCATACAGAATGCTCTGTACATTTCATCGAATTCTGGAAAGCTGCTTGGAAAACGGGAGATTGACTTAAAGGACAGTCTACGAAAACCAAAAGATCGTCAATTTTAGCCTGAATAAACAAGGTTGAAATCGCTTCAAAATAAACTAATCTCAAAATACTCTTCAGGGTCTGGTCGAGCAAAGCTTAAACTTTAATTTAGACACTTGGCGATCCAAAAAAATCATTATATAATTTTTAACCGAATTTTTAACAATTGAATATGCTCGCGCAGTAACAAAATTAAATTTGATTATAAATTTTTTTTTAAATAGTTTACAATTTTTTGACCCAGTCAGATTTTTTTTCAGGTTTTTTGGATCATTCCGAATAAAAACGGCGTCCATTAACTTTTTTTTAAAGTTGACCATTTTCGAGTTAGAGCGATTTAATGTCTGAAAAGCAATGCTCAAAAGTTCTGTTAAAAGTAATAATTTTTGAAGTCGCCAAATATCTAAATTAAAGATGAAGAGATGCTGCTAGGTATCTAGATTATTTTATTTCATAGCGATCTTTAACCATGCATCTTAGGCCAAAATTGTCAAACTTTTGGTTTTTGCAGACTGCACTATAGGATTTGGGTTGTTACTTCTGAAGCTACTGGAGATTTCGTCCGGAAAGCAGTTAACTTTGACGGCTTATAAGTCAGCAACGTTTACGGATAGAGTAGCAAACTTTCAGTCAAAATACGTTTTCATACCGGATTATCGGGCAGCTTGATTTTTTTACTCCCATCTACTAAAAATCTTCCCGTTTCTTGGATCAAGTAGTTGTTTACTTATTTTTGAATGTTATCTCTGGAAAACAGCAAACACCCAAAAAATTAGTAATGTGAGGACCGCGAAAAGTATATACCAAAAGAAAAACTCAAAACTGAAAATTCCAGGTTATTTCAATTAGTTTTTTTAAGAAAAAGGTAAATTTAACGTTTATAAACACTCTGTATAGATTATGTCTAAGATTTAAATATCGTGAAACTATGGAATATGAAGCTTGTTTTGGCGAAAAGTTCGGCACTGTGTCTGCAAAAGTGACTGCTATACAAGATGTCAAAGTTCACTGTATTTTAAGACAGAATATCCCGTAGCTTCAGAAGTAGTAATCTAAACCCTATAATATGCTATATCAAACTTCTCATTGAAGGAGTCTTCCAGAATATACTAAAATATGTAGCACATTACATTTAAAAATTCACCCTGTATGTTTTCAGCATTTGAATGTCTTGAAGAGCACAAAATATTGATTACTTTGTATACACTCGTAAATACACTTTTCCAGGTAGCTTGGACACAAATCCTTTAGCATGCAGAAGAGAAGTAAAGCTAGCAAAGAATTCATAATGCACAAAATATACCTAATGTCCGTTGGTGTAGCCGTCCTGCAGTATCTATCCAAAGTGGTGTACGTATGATACCTATCAAGACTACCAAGGTTTTGAACCGGAGTATACCGGTCAGGAAAGCGTTGGCAACTGAACCTGAAACAAACATTGTATGTCAACAAACCAAATTATACTCAAAAGCAATCTTCATAACGATTCGACAAGTTTAAGTCGTAAATTGGTAGTATATGACCTATTTTTTAACTGAAACATTATTAATTAAAAATTAAATATTATCTACAAAATTAACGTCAATAACTAGCAAGGCCACGCAACTAAACTTTTTTTACTTCCCTCCAAAGCAATTTTTCTACTTTCCTTGACATTTATGCCACGTGTTACATTTCTATAGAGGACGTTTTAAAAGCTTTCAACATACTATAGTAACTATTCCAGTGGCGCGGGGGGCGCGCGCCCCCCTAAACGTTTAACACTTGCCTTTGTAATCCAATACCATTGTGTTACTTTCTGACACATCATGGCGACAGAGGCTATAAGTTATAGCTATAGGAACTGAGCATTGCGACTGAAATGTATCATAGTTAAATAAGCACATTTTTTCATAGTTTCCCACAGTTCTAAGCTTTTCTTCAGCTTTTCGGACTTCCGAGTTGCTAGGCTACACTGCAAGAGCTCTGCGTGATGTGCTTGAAAGGCTGAGTTTCGTGACACCGTGACGTGATAAAATATAGTTGAATTATGAATGTAATTCCACTTTCTAACAGGTGTGTAATGACCAGGCTGGATTATCAGTAGGCCCCAACCAATTCAAACTAGGTAGAGGAAGCCAGTCTGGGATATGTTTGTTTCCTAATTCTCATAGTATGTAGTGAGGATCAAAGTGCACCTAAGATAAATCAATATTTTGACAGTTCTGTCATTAAATTTAAATTTTTAGTGCTATTTTTTAAAAACGCGGGTGATAGCAGATAATTGTGGTGTTAGATGACTTCAAGAAATTGTACTTCTCACATAATTTGTAAAGAGTGGCACAATCCTAATGATGGTAGATGTTTCCACCTGGAAGTATTATTATTATTATGTTGATACAAGTCAAAAGAGTGCACAAAAACTAGACAAAGTCGGCGGCAAACAATGCAATGTAAACATATAGGCTTGGCTCCTTCTAACCTATTCAAATTCGTTGGTAGGCCCCATCTCATAGAATCTATCTATACCAGTCGCCAGGAACAAAGTGCACAGTGGGGGGTGGGAGCTAAATCTATAGACAAAAAAGAAAAATTGTCGTCTTGATAGTATCATGCGGAGTCAAGTGACACCTGGCAATCATGCAAATAATATTTCGCTATCATCACTTGGCAGATCAAAGGAGAATTGTCAGTGTGAAATTCAAATTGTTCCTATCCTCAAATCGACTAAACATCTCTTATTTTATTTATATCTGTTAATTTTTATATTGCATGTCTTAACCAGAACTATTTCCATACGACGTCCGCTAGGTGGCGCTCTCATCGCGCGCCCAGTAAATAGTTCAATAGTACTTCAAGTAGAAGGAAAAAGTATATGGTAAGTCAAAACGAAGTACCTGACTGCCAAGAAACTGACGCACCCTGTTAATAGAACAAGCACTCAGAACTGTACGAGCATTCTGAGATGTATCAGAGATTTTACGAAATAACGATTTCTCAAAGAAATCGCTACAAAAATTTAAAATTGATTATATAGCATTTCTCTTTATTTCACGAGATCTGAAGTCAGTGCTGGGCTAACTTAAATCAAAATGAAAAATACAGGACTGCTGCATTTTTACTGGTTTCATAGCAATACATTTTCTGTCTGATTTATGTGTATCAAAATTTATTTTGTAGGTATTTTAGAGTCGAAAAAAGGAGCTGAGCTGCATTTCCTTACCAAATAACTAGAAAAATAAAAATACTATTTTATGCCCATTCCTATTTTGACTAATAAAAAACTCATGCGGAGTTTTCCCTGACTCGGCCTATATTCCTATATTCCTTTTTACACATTTTCATCAGAGATTTTGTCTCCTACAATTAGCCCCAACGATTTTGCTATATTTCTTAGACTAGTGAAGAGTATTGTTGCCAGTGGCGACGCGTGACTTTTCCTAAACTGTTACCAAAACCAGATGTCAAAAATCTTATTAAATAAAGTTTATTTTGAACCTATATTTAAATTAAGGTAAACATTCCTGGACTGAGCGTCTGGGGCACTTGATATACCTCATCGTCTTATGCTATGACTAATCCAAGCCGTCCTAAAAAGCAGCCGACGTTTCTAGATGTTCGGAATTTTTTTTTCTTTTTTGGCAATGAGTGTTATCAATTCCCTGTAATTTCCTCTATTGTCAGAGTCATCCACTTCAAAATAAACGGTAATGCCTGTTTTGCCAAAAAACATACGGTATCTAGAAGTGTGCTGCCCAAAATCTTGGTTAAGACATCTTTCGATTCTTGTTTTGCCAAACTGAATTAAATTGGCTACACATCTCACATGTAACGGAGAAATTTCATGTCTCCTCTTTAGAGCCCTAAAACTATTTAAATCGTTGACTCCGCTGCTGGTCCACCCATTTTTTTCTGTATAAAACAGAAGACATCGCCAACAATACAATCTGTTTTTTTGCAACCACATAACCAAGAGTTTCCATATACCAACTTAATTTAAGATATACAACTGCGTTTTTTTATTTCTTTTTATAATTATCTAAAATAGGTGTTGCTCTTCCATTTTCAATGATCTCCTTTTTTTCTTAAAGATCATACAAGGAGAATGACTTTTCAAGTAGTTGATCGATTACGGAGCGACACTCATCCATGATTAATTTCACGCACACTACAGCCGGTAACCAAAACGGCTACTAACGAGTGAGAAGTAAGTAACCAAATCAAAAAATCTTAACAAGCCCACATAATAGTCGCAGCGCCCCACACACTCCGGCGGCCGCGATCAGACACGAGCCGGTACCGACGGTCCTCGACGGACTACCAGGTGTATCAATAAATGAAAATGGTAGCAACCGACAACCAAGTCGAGGCGAGTAAGGTTCATCGTGTTCGCAAAACCTAGACACTATAGGGCGCATTATTTTCGTGGGGCTAATTTGCTATTTGGGTCATTCTCAAAATTTGGGACAATTTGATGTAACCATCGAAAATTACTAAAACAAGAGTACGCTCTAGTTATCTAACATGCTTAGGCAATAAAATGAAATACCTTTTGTTAGGATCACTTATTAAACTTTTAAATTTGACTTTAAAAATATTTTTAAAAACTGTCCAAAAGTACCAAAATTCCACTCCATGGACTGTAACCAACACGTTTTGCCTAAGATATTGCTTTACTTCAGAAACTCTACATAGTTTCGCGTCACAACAATCGTTTTTATCAAAAGATTAAATGTCAATAATAATAATGCTATAGCCAAAATCAAATAATTACTAAAAATAATCATTAAGAATTATGTAAAAAGGTGTGTAACCACATTTGAGTTCCACTCCGTGGACCTAGGGGAATGTTGCTCCTTATGGTTGGTATTGCATCTTTAAGCGCGCGAAAGCCCGTCGGTACTCGTGCTTCAGTCTAGTTTTGTCGCTCGACATGCAAGGATCGCCCAATTTTGTGCGGATTAGTGGTAGTGATAGTCGAAGTGAGCGCTGGCAGGTGCGTATTTTTATTGTTTTCCACTCCATGGGGGCTTTTAAAATGATTTGAACAAGTAAAATTTAAATAAAAATATTGCGGTTAGGTGACCATTTATTAGCATTTTAATTTTATGTACAAATTACTTTGTGTTTTTTGTTTTGCGAGTGTAAAGCTATTTTTTTCCCAAAAAAATCCACTCCCTGGACTTCCGCTCCATGGACTTTTGTATGTCCATGGAGCAGATTGGTGTCCATGGAGTAGAAAAAGTAATTGTTTTTCAACCTTAGAAGAATACGCTTTAATTTAAATTAATTATAAGACTATGCTAATCATGTGGTTTAATAGGTTTTTTGTTTTAGCAAAAACATGGCTAAGCCAAAGGTAGACTTAGAGAAGCGAAGGCAGCAAAAAAGAGACTGTGAACGCAGACGTAGAGAGAAAGTAAGAAGCAATCCAGAGCAATATGAAAAAGCAAAGCAACAGGAAAGAGAAAGATATTATGAGCGAAAAAAACAGGGCAAAATTAAGCTTATTGGGGAAGTATCCAGAAGGGAGAAAAAAATATTAAGAAAAAAGTGGAAAGAATACAAACGGAGTTATAATACAAACAAAAAACTTGTAACCAGAGCTACGCAGATGCTAAAAGAAAACACTCCTCCGGCAACACCTACCACAGATCTAAACGAAATTGAAAACAATCAGGATATAGCAAATGTTTCAGGGAGATCAAGCGCTGGAAGAAAAAGGGTTTTAAGGAAGCGCTCAGCAACTGTAAGAAAATTAAAGGAATTGGACAGAAAAGTAGAGAAGTACAAAAAATTAACGCAGCGGTATAAAACAAGACTACAGAGATGTAAAAATAAAAAAATCAAGAAAAATTCACCTTTAACAAACACCGAAAAATTGTTAAAAGGTCAAAGCGTTTCTTCAGAAGTCAGAAAAAAAATCTTTGTTGGAGAAGTTTTAAGAAAACAACTATCTGCCAATTTTATTTCTATAAACACAAGCTACAAGGCTAAAAGGCAGCTTATAAAATGCACGTCTGGAAAGATTATCAAACAGTATCGTTTGACAAGTGAAATGAATAAGACTTGTGGCACATACAAATTGAATAGACCTAAAAATAAACAAATATCTAGAGTTCAATTTAAGGTAAAAGACACCTTACAGATTTTTTTTGAAAGAGACGACGTAAGTAGAATGTGTCCGGGTAAAAACGATGTAATTACCTTTAAAAAAGTAAATTAACAAAAAAGGTATTTTGTAAATCGAAAAATAATCTTGAATGAATTCAATGCTTAAATTGCCAAAAATGGATCTGTGGCATGTGCAGCAAGTGCAGCAAGAACGCTTTTTTCACTTGTGCAATATGCGACGATAGCGACGATGACTATGCATTAGCAACATTATTAAAAAGAACTACATTTTGTACGTTTTTTTATGTTTCGTTTTATTCGTTCGTTATTTTTAAACTTAGTTATTACCTATCTATTCTTAAAATTTGTGGTTGTAGTTTCTTTGTTTTAAAGCAAAAAATAAGAATATATCATTTATTTTCTTTTTAAGAGAACATGTCAACATAAAATTAATGTCGCGGTTATTTATATTTTTCTAAACAATAAATAAATGTTAAAACTACATGAAATTTCTACTCCGTGGAAAACCCATTCCACTCCGTGGACACAAATTTTGATTTTTTATCAATAAAATCTAAAATTTTGACTTAGATTTTTGGCCACACACCTAAACATTATTAGAAAGCAATATCCCATGCAACTTGATTGAAAAAGTGATAATATCGAAACCTTTGGTCGATTACACTTTCACCTCCTATATTGTCTCAATTTTTTAGAATGACCCATTTATTGATTTACTATTACACATCGCTGTTGGTAAACAAATAAATGAAATTATTTCACAGTACTTAGTCATAAAATATTTATTTTAAGATTTTTAACTGTTACCAATGGTAACAATGGTTACATGGACGCTGCCACTGATTGTGGCTAGCAGAAAATTGTATGGAACCGTGAGAGGCTCAAGCGTACTTAAAGAGTACATGATAATGAATTGATGTTGGTTACAATACAGTTTGCTAGTCACACATTTTTTGGATGCATGGTAGACAGCTGGTGAGCAGCCCCGTATTTCGTTCTGTTAACCAACGTTGGTATAAATTGCATTTGAAATGTTTGACCTAAGGTGACATGCTGTCTTCGTCATCTTTGTTTAACAATTGTTCTTGTAATGTGCGCAGAAGTTACTATTTTGTAAGCTACTCGTGATAAAAAAATGGCTCCGAGTAGGTTGTCTCTGCAATTTAGACGCTCTGAAAATAGTTATTTGCGTATATGTATATGAAAGAAATTTTATGGATCAAGCTAGTCTAACACGCCCATACAATTAGTCCATCGACATTTTAGGCAGCAACGTGACAGTAACAATAGAACACTTATCTAGACGGTACGCCCGCCCCGGTAAACCTACAGACGCGTATCGATAACATTTCTGTATCTATTTTTGAAGACAAATGTACGGAGAAATCTATGATGTGTGAAATATGTATATTAGGTGCGTAGAGTTACCAGGGTTGGGAGCAGATAAATATAAATACTAACATCAAATAACGGATATATTGTCCCCACACTCTACAACACCAACCCCCAATTTTTCACCGCCACAAAACTTTTTCTGAAAATGATCAGCCCTTGGCACAGTAGTAGTCTTACTGGAAAATTTCATCCAAATTGGCACCCGTATTACGTAACTTGAAAAGCGACCATTATATCGACTTTAATGCATCATGTTGGTTTGTATCAAGCAATGTCACCTTGCAGCTAGCTGTTGTTTACTTCATATTCACTTGTAGTAGCTGTAAGTGTTGTCTAAGCGTCATGATGCGTGAGCTACATGGTTTCGTTTTCGAAATTACCAAACTTATTCGCCAGTAGGCGTGAGAGATAAAAATGGTCTTCATAAGGTTCTCACCTTTCTGTCGTATGATACCCGTTAACTTGACTCCTATCCTGCTGGACAGCTTGAGTGCCACCGCCGCCATTGGCGACAGCGGCGTGCGGCCGTTCACCCAGCGGGTACCGCTCCGAACCTCCTGGCGCGAACCGTTCCACCAATGGCGGCTCGTGGTGCGGGGTAGTACCGCCCCCTCTCCCCGCTGCTGGCGATTTTTGGGCGATGGCGCCGGCACTGGCGTTAGCGCTGGCAGAGACACACTCCGACGCCATCTTGCCCAGGAGCGGAGCTGAGGGGGCGGCGGAGGGCCAGGCCCCGCTTTCAGGACATCTGGAACAAAAAAAAACCATTTAAAGGTGGCCTAAGATATTAGCAGTTTTTATTTTCTAATTACCCACCCTCCAACTGTCAAATCCAAACAAACTATTTAGAAGTATTGAATCCATTTACTCAATTATTAGCTATTACATAAATGTACAGCACGGTACCCCCAATGTTACATAACTCAAGCATTATTAGCTTGTAGTTCGTGGACCCTTATCCGTGAGTATACATATGGAGGTCCGCAGTCTAGACCGTTTAACAAAGATAAATGCCACCAAAAGTCTCGCTTCGCTTGCTCACTTAGCACGGCGAACATGTAGGAAGCATTTCGCGCCTTTGATCCCCAATTTTATTGGCGGTATTTAAGGAAGTCGTTGAAAATTGTGCTCGGTTTTTTAGGGGTCTATGATTGTCACAGAGAATGCAAATGATACAATACTGACTATGTGGCAAGGTAGGTAGTTATCGTCTACCTAAGCCTAGCATCGACATTCTTAGTGCATACCTTTAACCAGATAACAACCAAGTAACGGTTGCTGCTTACTGCTGAAGTAGAGATATCAATAACATTTTATATTGTGAACAGAAAGATAGCCCGACACCGATGTTAGTAAAAGATATATGTCCTACTCATTCTAGAGTGAAGACATCCACCAAAATTCAAACAAAAATCTCCAAGACTATTTATTCAGTCTTTTTTATAAGAGACTAGTCATTTGTATACTCATAAACCCATGAATATGCCCATTCTAAAACGGCACAATTTTATATATTCAGTGTGGGATAACGTAACGTGAATAAGTTATAGTGTACTATGTATCTTTATTATGCACATCCACCAATAATAGAAATAACTATATACACTTATACAGGATCATCAGGCGATCATCACTTCGTAGATACCTTTCAATCGACTGAGAGTATACAGGTTGTCCCCAAGGATGAGCACACCAAAATATCTCGGAAATTAAGGGTGCTAAAAAAACTTGAGATATGAAGGTCTCTCAAGTGGCACATCTAGAGGTGACCTTGGATTTGACGTTGGCATTTTGAAGGTCATTTTAAGGGCAAGTTGATTTTTTCAAATGGAAACCTCTATTTTTTATTGCAGAAATAGAAAGTCAACAAATTTCCTTTTCAACGGTATAAAATCATAGGGGCTAAAATTACATCTAGATGTTACTTCAAGGTCAACCGTTGCTCTTTCATGAAATGTTGTGATAAAGCTGGGAAAGAAGAATATTATAGAAGAACTTTCAATGCGAAAATTATAGAAGACCCAACGGCACATCCGTCGGTGACCTTGGCCAGGACCTTGAAGGTCAATTCAAGGTCAAACAGATTTCTTCACATGAGAACTAGTGCTGAAAACGGAGAAACATTCCATGTGCAACGGTTTAATTGACGGAAGTAAAATCACACTTAGAGGTTATTTTAAGGTCAAATGACCCATTTTCGTGAATTAGACTGACGGCCGATAATTTTTGCAAGTAAAAAAGAGATCTTGAATCGATTCTTCAAAATATTGAGGTAAAACTATTTCAGTTAGTGAAAGCAAGACAGGCTGGTGTACGGCCAGTAAAAGCAACACAGGTAGAGGTTAGTGTTCGACTGAGGGTTTTAGATGGAAATTTTTTGCATATTTCAAAACTCCAAAGTTATTAACGAGTCCGAAGGGTCGTTATTTCATATTATATCCCATTGCTGAGATTATGAGAATGAAGGTCACTATCAGATGTTATGTCCTGCAATTTTTACATTTAAACTTTCTCTTTCTTCTTTTTCCAGATATCCGCTGTTTCACAACAGTTCATAAAAGAGCAGCAATTGACCTTGAAATAGCCTCTAGATTAAATTTTGGCGGCTACGATATTCATACCGTTAGAAAGTAATTGTTTAGCTTTCTTTTTCTGTAATATAAGGTCACCACTAGACGCACCATTTGATTTCCTAAAACTGCAGTATGCAAAGTTCTTTCTAGCACCCTTAGTTGAAGAGATATTTGGGTGTGTCCATACCTTTGGGGCACCCTGTTTGCGATATCAGTAGTTCATATGTTTTAACTGATCAGTTTGATTCCATGTGAATGAGAATAATATGACACCAAATGTGAGACGTTGTCCTTGATATTGGATTTGTTGACGTGGAAACTAATCATAAAGAAAACATTGACAGATAAATAACCTAATGCTGCTAACAAAGACCTATGAATGTCTCCCTGACTTATTTCCATGTTTCACTGGGCCATGAATGAAACCAAATATGCAGAATAAAATTACTGATGTTTGGGCCAGCAGCAAATAATACGGTAGGCTGGTCTGCAATATAAGAAATGGTTAAGTGAACGCTACTTATCAAGAAATATTGTAATTCAACATCTGAAAGTCATCCTGTGGTTTTCATGTCGATAATCTCCCATGTTGATCTTGACAGTATATGTGCAATTCTTTCATGTAGTAAAGAAGCTAAAGAGGCCAACGTCCAAGTATCTTGAATTATGAGCTTTAATGCATCACCTCTGGCTTGGTTTGGTTTGGTAATGCGCCACCTCTGGTCAAATTTGTGGAGACCCTCCCTGTTACTTAAGTAAAACACGCAACAGAGGATTAAAGTTCGATTTTCGTTTAATCGCAGGAGAAAGAGGTACTTACGTGAGCTATAAATATTTGATAAAGTACAACGTGGTATAACGCTCATTTATGGGTTTTAACAAAAGTTCCAACAAAAGAGATACAACCAAAGTGCGGCACCCAAAACTACTTTACCTTGACAAAACCGTCGGTCACTCAGCAATCTGTTAACGAGGTTTGACCATAGTCGATAAGAAAACTAAATGTTTTTTATGATTGATATTGGTATGTAGTAAAAATATGCAAATTATTTCCATCAATCCTTTCTACTCGTATTTGGAGTATTTAGTGTGCAAGATTATTTCAAATAGAAATCCCCGTTTTTCAATGTATTCATCCAAGGGTCATCCTTCTGCGAGTTCCTCATTTATTTATTATTATTATTACTATCATTATTATTATCATCATGTATCATTACTTTTTAGGTATCGGATAGTCACTTTTAAGGATGTACGTTAATTGAGAAGAAGGAAAGCGAAGAGAAGGGGACAAAATCTTCCACTGAGTTCTGTACCCATAGTCAAAAGATCGTATACTCGAGCGTCATGAAGAAGAAACGGCATCACGTTTGACACGTGCAAATAACGAATGTCGCCGCGGTTTCCTTAGCACGCTGTATTGATTACAGATCGAGTCTGCTAATAAAGCCATTTTCTGACAATAAACCAGTAATATCGAGCATCATACATGGCTCTTTATCTAGAGCCCATGAAAATATTAGACATGCAGCTTTACTGAAAATCTGTCGTTGAGTAAATATGATTTTACGTAACACCGTTTCAGAAAGAACAAGTGCCTTCAATTCACAGTATCTAGGCATTCCTAGATATTTCTAGGATCAACACATTACAGACCGGTCTTCCAATAGTAAGTTCGCTAGAATCAGTTTAAGTACGTTTCAGCTTAAACCAATTAAAATAATATTGCCAACTGGCAAGACTTTTCTCTCATTTATCACACACTAAATACGATATGTATGCGATACTATTCATCAATCAATTCATAGTGTCGCACCTGGTCACCTTTAAAATGACTTTCCTAGTATTTCATTTGATATCGATTCATTAAATGAGACATTTAACCACTTTCCTGTAATAAACCGGTAATATCAAACTATATAGTACACAACAGAGAATTCCAATAGCGTAATTGGTTAGCTAGAATCAGTTTACCGACTTTTAAGCTTAAAATGATTACATCCAAAGCATTATCAATTATGGAAAGCAAACGGCAGTTCACCCAGCACAATTTGCAAGAATGAATTGCTTTCGGACTAAATATCACACAGCAGTCGCCATTTAAATGGCTTTCCTCACGAATATAAAATATTAAGTTATTTTGTTGGGCTGTTACCCACAATGGGTTATTTGTCTTCTTTTTACTCACTTAGTATGGTCATTCCAAATACATTAAGGGAAAAAGAACTTGGTCTGTTGAACGTTATTTTTGTATTCCAGTAGTCTCGGTTTATCTCATTTCTTCAAGATATGGTTAGATATTGTAGCTTAAGTACTGCAACTATACTGACTGTTTTGTACTGAAGCAGCAGCGGAGACCTAAGCATCAGAGTATGGCTGAATTGGCATCGTTAGAATTAATTTCAAGCTGGACAAGGTAAGTACAATAGGATTAGCTTCCTTCAGACCGCTTGTTCCACATTCTCGACGCCGTAAATATGAAGAAGTGGTAACATCAGCAAGTTCTCAATGTAAAGACCTACATCGTGGAGCAAATTACATCGGAAAAGGGTAAGATCACCAATCACCGGCCAATGTCGCAGAGGGTAAAGACCAGATGTTTTGGGAAAAAATGTTGGACATCGCTCCCTTAACAGCTTCTAGAAGAACATAAACTCAAATTGAGTTTTATCTGGCACTTAAACAGAGTAATTTAGTTGAATGGTGAAAATACCTCTTAATCTTGTTCTTCAGATGCCGTCTTCGCTACGAAGGCCAACTATCATCGATGCTACTTCACTCTTTGAGGGTCCTGCACAAAGCACTTGACGGGAACTGTAACAACACATTCTCTGAGATTCCTTTTCAAGTACGTTCTTCTACACTTCTGCACAATTCTCTTACCTTGAGTGTTATTCTGGATGATTAGTTGTAATAACTTGTATTTATCTCCATGG